TTCTTCTTCTTCTTCTTCTTCTTCTTCTTCTTGTCCTAAAAACTTTCCAGCGGCACTGACTCACCTATGATAAAATGAAATATATAGTATTATACAGTGTTCTATGTAATCCTATACATTCAACCCACTACTCCATGTTCTATGTAATCCTATACATTCAACCCACTACTCCATGTTCTATGTAATCCTATACATTCAACCCACTACTCCATATTCTATGTAATCCTATACATTCAACCCCACTGCTCCATATTCTCTCATTACTGCGTTTACGCTTCACCCATTTTAGCTTCCTATCATTAATGCATTGTGTCATACATGGAGTATAATATCATATACTGTAAAATACATGGGTAAATGACTAGAACTTCACTGGGGGGGGGGAATCTAATGGCTGCTACAGACTCCCTGTCCTTCAGCAAGGCTGTGCCCATATGGAATGGCTGTATATTGTATCTGGCAGGGCTGTGCCCATATGGAATGGCTGTATATTGTATCTGGCAGGGCTGTGCCCATATGGAATGGCTGTATATTGTATCTGGCAGGGCTGTGCCCATATGGAATGGCTGTATATTGTATCTGGCAGGGCTGTGCCCATATGGAATGGCTGTATATTGTATCTGGCAGGGCTGTGCCCATATGGAATGGCTGTATATTGTATCTGGCAGGGCTGTGCCCATATGGAATGGCTGTATATTGTATCTGGCAGGGCTGTGCCCATATGGAATGGCTGTATATTGTATCTGGCAGGGCTGTGCCCATATGGAATGGCTGTATATTGTATCTGGCAGGGCTGTGCCCATATGGAATGGCTGTATATTGTATCTGGCAGATCCGTTCTGTTCTTGGTGGAATAACTAGTGCTGCTACAACAAGGCCAAATGACACTAACTGCTTCTCTCTTAATCGTTGTGTGTGTGTGTGTGTGTGTGTGTGTGTGTGTGTGTGTGTGTGTGTGTGTGTGCAAGCCTCTCTTAATCACCACCATGCCACCATTCCAACCTCCAGAGGCTTCCAGAGCTGGAGCACAGAGCTATACACACACACACACACACACACACACACACACACGAACACACACACACACACACACACACACACACACACACACATTCACATACGGAGCTCCAACGAGCCTCCCTTTACAGCAATCAAGCCTGTTGTAATCAATTAAGATGATTGTCTGAACGGGGAAACAGGTGCTAGTAAATGTTAATATTTTCCTCTGTTTCCAAGAGGTGACACTAGATTAATATTTAACATGCTCAGGCTGATCTGAGAGAGGATGGGACTAGATGAATATTTAACATGCTCAGGCTGATCTGAGAGAGGATGGGACTAGATGAATATTTAACATGCTCAGGCTGATCTGAGAGAGGATGGGACTAGATGAATATTTAACATGCTCAGGCTGATCTGAGAGAGGATGGGACTAGATGAATATTTAACATGCTCAGGCTGATCTGAGAGAGGATGGGACTAGATGAATATTTAACATGCTCAGGCTGATCTGAGAGAGGATGGGACTAGATGAATATTTAACATGCTCAGGCTGATCTGAGAGAGGATGGGAGCTACAGTAGATGATTATTTTTCTCTTATTTATGCTGTTTCAGTGATAAACCCAACCATGATCTGTCAGGTTAGACAAGCATATTGTTGACCATGTAAAGACTAGCTTCGGCTCCCCTTAGACTTAGTCTCTGGAGATCTTGTAGACCTCAGGCGGAAATCCATTGTTTGCAACGGTGCATGCAAACCCATAAACATTGAGGCCCGTTCAAAGTCTTCCATTATGCCATCCCCTTACTAGCTCTGACTCTGCTGATAGATACTTTATTGAGGAAACATGTAGTTGCTGTGACTGTGATATGTGGTTGTCCCACCTAGCTATCTTAAGATGAACGCACTAACTGTAAGTCGCTCTGGATAAGAGCGTCTGCTAAATGACTAAAATGTCAAATGTTAATGTGTTATGGTGTTTTTTTTATAGTGTTATGATGTTAACATTGTTAAGGTGTTGACAACGTGATAGTGTCACAGTGTTATAGTGGTATGGTGTTGACATCGTTATATTGTTATTGTGTTGACATTGGGCGGCGCACAATTGGCCCAGCGTCGTCCAGGGTAGGGGAGGGAATGGCCGGCAGGGATGTAGCTCAGTTGATAGAGCATGGCGTTTGCAACGCCAGGGTTGTGGGTTCGATTCCCACGGGGGGGCCAGTATAAACAAATATATATATATGTATTCACTAACTGTAAGTCGCTCTGGATAAGAGCGTCTGCTAAATGACTAAAATGTAAATGTAATGTAAATGTTATGGTGTTGACATCATTATAGTGTTATGGTGTTGATATCGTTATAGTTTTATGGTGTTGACATCGTTATAGTGTTATGGTGTTGACATCGTTATAGTGGTATGGTGTTGACATCGTTATAGTGGTATGGTGTTGACATTGTTATGTTGTTGACATCGTTATAGTGTTACGGTGTTGACATTTTTATGATGTTGACATCGTTATATTGTTATGGTGTTGACATTGTTATGGTGTTGACATCGTTATAGTGTTATGGTGTTGACATTGTTATGGCGTTGACATTGTTATGGTGTTGACATCAGTATAGTCTTATGGTGTTGACATTGTTATGGTGTTGACATCATTATAGTGTCATGGTGTTGACATTGTTATGGCGTTTACATTGTTATGGTGTTGACATCATTATAGTGTTATGGTGTTGACATTATTATGGTGTTGACATCGTTATAGTCTTATGGTGTTGACATTGTTATGGTGTTGACATCGTTATAGTGTTATGGTGTTGACATTGTTAAGGTGTTGATATCGTTATAGTGTTATGGTGTTGACATCGTATAGTGTTATGGTGTTGACATCGTTATAGTGTTATGATGTTGACAATGTTATGGTGTTGACATCGTTATAGTGTTATAGTGTTGACATCGTTATAGTGTTATGGTGTTGACAATGTTATGGTGTTGACATGGTTATAATGTTATGGTGTTGACATTGTTATGGTGTTGACATTGTTATAGTGTTATGGTGTTGACATTGTTATGGCGTTGACATCGTTATAGTGTTATAGTGTTGACATCGTTATAGTGTTATGGTGTTGACAATGTTATGGTCTTGACATTGTTATAGTGTTATGGTGTTGACATTGTTATGGTGTTGACATTGTTATAGTGTTATGGTGTTGACATTGTTATGGTGTTGACATCATTATAGTGTTATGGTGTTGACATCGTTATAGTGTTATGGTGTTGACATTGATATGGTGTTGACATCATTATAGTGTTATGGTGTTGACATTGTTATGGTGTTGACATTGTTATATTGCTATTGTGTTGACATTGTTATGGTGTTGACATCGTTATAGTGTTATGGTGTTGACATTGTTATGGTGTTGACATCATTATAGTGTTATGGTGTTGACATCATATAGTGTTATGGTGTTGACATCGTTATAGTGTTATGATGTTGACAATGTTATGGTGGGCGGCAGGTAGCTTAGTGGGTAAGAGCGTTGTGCCAGTAACCGAAAGGTCGCTGGTTCTAATCCCCGAGCCGACTAGGTGAAAAATCTGTCGATGTGCCCTTGAGCAAGGCACTTAACCCTAATTGCTCCTGTAAGTCGCTCTGGATAAGAGCGTCTGCTAAATGACTAAAATGTAAATGTAAATGATGGTGTTGAAATCATTATAGTGTTATAGTGTTGACATCGTTATAGTGTTATGGTGTTGACAATGTTATGGTGTTGACATTGTTATAGTGTTATGATGTTGACAATGTTATGGTGTTGACATCGTTATAGTGTTATAGTGTTGACATCGTTATAGTGTTATGGTGTTGACAATGTTATGGTGTTGACATTGTTATAGTGTTATGGTGTTGACATTGTTATGGTGTTGACATTGTTATAGTGTTTTGGTGTTGACATTGTTATGGTGTTGACATCATTATAGTGTTATGGTGTTGACATTGTTATAGTGTTATGGTGTTGACATTGATATGGTGTTGACAACATTATAGTGTTATGGTGTTGACATTGTTATGGTGTTGACATTGTTATATTGTTATTGTGTTGACATTGTTATGGTGTTGACATTGTTATGGTGTTGACATTGTTATGGTGTTGACATTGTTATATTGTTATTGTGTTGACATTGTTATGGTGTTGACATCATTATAGTGTTATAGTGTTGATATCGTTATAGTGTTATGGTGTTGACATCGTATAGTGTTATGGTGTTGACATCATTATAGTGTTATGGTGTTGACAATGTTATGGTGTTGACATCGTTATAGTGATATGTTGTTGACATTGTTTTGGTGTTGACATCATTATGGTGTTGACATCCTTATAGTGTTATGGTGTTGACATTGTTATGGTGTTGACATCGTTATAGTGTTTTGGTGTTGACATTGTTATGGTGTTGACATCGTTATATTGTTATTGTATTGACATTGTTATGGTGTTGACATCGTTATAGTGTTATGGTGTTGACAATGTTATGGTGTTGACATCGTTATAGTGTTATGGTGTTGACATCGTTATTGCTTACTTGAGAGCTCTTCCCCAACAATGCAGTGGTTGAATATACAGGTCAGTGTCAGTACCTTATTGAATGTACAGGGGTACTGGAGTGGTTGAATGTACAGGTCAGTGTCAGTACACAATTCAATGTGCAGGACTGGAGCATGGTAACGCCTGCCAGACGGGAGCATGGAGAACAGTCCACATCTTGGATGGCTGGAAGCTGGCCCTTATACAGTATGTGGTGGTTATTAAATTAGGTGGGCATTTGGGTCTGTTGGTAAGAGAGTGGCGCCAGCAAAGCAAGGTTGTGGGTTCAATTCCCACAGGGATCACATATACATAGTGAACATGTGTCCTCTCCCTGACTGTGTTTCAGAGCATTAAGGTGAGCTGGCAGCCCCCTCCTCCCAACAGCCAGAACGGGTTCATCACCGGCTATAAGCTCCGACACCGGAAGACCGGCCGACGAGGAGACCAGGAGGCCATCGAACCTAACAACTTCTGGTACCTGTTCACAGGTGAGTCTCCTGGTACCTGTTCACAGGTGAGACTTCTTGTACCTGTTCACAGGTGAGACTTCTGGTACCTGTACACAGGTGAGTCTCCTGGTACCTGTTCACAGGTGAGTCTCCTGGTATCCTGGTAACTGTTCACAGGTGAGACTTCTGGTACCTGTTCACAGGTGAGTCTCCTGGTACCTGTTCACAGGTGAGTCTCCTGGTACCTGTTCACAGGTAAGACTTCTGGTACCTGTTCACAGGTGAGTCTCCTGGTACCTGTTCACAGGTGAGTCTTCTGGTACCTGTTCACAGGTGAGTCTCCTGGTACCTGTTCACAGGTGAGTCTCCTGGTACCTGTTCACAGGTGAGTCTCCTGGTACCTGTTCACAAGTGAGTCTTCTGGTACCTGTTCACAGGTGAGTCTTCTGGTACCTGTTCACATATATAAGCACCAGTAGCCAGATAATACAGATACTGTATACAGTATACACTGCCTTTCCATGACATAGACTGACCAGGTGAATCCAGGTGAAAGCTATTAACCCTTATTGATGTCACTTGTTAAATCCACTTCAATCAGTGTCGATGAAGGTGAGGAGACGGGGTTAAAGAAGGATTTTCAAGCCTTGAGACATTTGAGACATGGATTGTGTATGTTCTGCCATTCAGAGGGTGAATGGGCAAGACAAAACATTTAAGTATGGTAGTAGGTTCCAGGAGCACCGGTTTGTGTCAAGAACTGCAACGCTGCTGGGTTTTTCACTCTTGACAGTTTCCCGTGTGTATCAAGAATGGTCCACCACCCAAAGGACATCCAGCCAACTTAACACAACTGTAGGAAGCATTGGAGTCAACATGGTGCCAGCATCCCTGTGGAACGCTTTCGACACCTTGTAGAGTCCATGCCCCGATGACTTGAGGCTGTTCTGAGGGCAAAATGGGGTTCAACTCAAAATTAGGAAGGTGTTCCACACACCACAGCAGAGATAACTAGGTGCTCATTTTAACAGAGATAACTAGGTGTTCATTTTAACAGAGATAACTAGGTGTTCGTTTTAACAGAGATAACTAGGTGTTCATTTTAACAGAGATAACTAGGTGTTCATTTTAACAGAGATAACTAGGTGTTCAATTTAACAGAGATAACTAGGTGTTCATTTTAACAGAGATAACTAGGTGTTCATTTTAACAGAGATAACTAGGTGTTCATTTTAACAGAGATAACTAGGTGTTCATTTTAACAGAGATAACTAGGTGCTCATTTTAACAGAGATAACTAGGTGCTCATTTTAACAGAGATAACTAGGTGTTCATTTTAACAGAGATAACTAGGTGTTCATTTTAACAGAGATAACTAGGTGTTCATTTTAACAGAGATATCTAGATGTTCATTTTAACAGAGATAACTAGGTGCTCATTTTAACAGAGATAACTAGGTGTTCATTTTAACAGAGATAACTAGGTGTTCATTTTAACAGAGATAACTAGGTGTTTATTTTACTGACATAAGGTATTATTTCAATTCCCGTACTGAATTTGGATGAAAATAATATTCATTTTTATTATTTGGTGATGAATATCTTAGAGGAAATTCATTCATAGCCTGCGTCCAAAATGGCACCCTATTCCCTATATAGTGCACTACTATTGACCAGGACTCTGTTTTATCCCTAATAGAAGGATGGAGGGAATTTATCTGTAGAGAGTAGTGATGATGTACTCAGCCTCACCTCTGTAATGCAGCGATGAATATTCAGCCTTTGAATGTGCAAAAACTGCCACTAACAATGAACAACACAGAAATGTTTTTGGTGGTTTGAGGGAGATTGAAGCCCACATACCTCCATGGAAAAATAAACACATAGATGTTTTGAAGGGTTAAAATGAAAGGAGAGAAAGGGACATCAACAACCAGTCTATCTGAGGATGCGTTAAGAGTGGAAAGGCTGTTGTGAGGATTGAACCCACAACCATTCAGGCTTATTACCATCCTGTATGTGTTTGCTGTGATGGATGTTTACCACTCAACCACACAGACACTGCAGGGGGGGGGGGTGCCTCTGTACCTCTGTGATTTTGTCGTGTTTCCCCCCTGTTTACAGACTCAGGTTTGTGATAAGTACTGTTTTTAACATCTCTGTGTCGTAATGTTTCCCCGTCTCTCTCCTCAGGGCTGGAGACAGGACGGTACAGCTGTGTTTGATAATATCTTTCTGACATTGTTGTGCTTCTCTGTCTCAGGGTTGTAGAAAAAACAGTCAGTACAGCTTTCAGCTGATTCAGTATGTAGCCTTCTAGAATGCTGTCGGTATTATTGTGTTTAACAGCTCTTAGACGTCGTCCTCGCCCCGTCTCAGAGCGGCAGAAAGGCAGTCAGTACAGCGATGGTTAACATCTCTGAGACCAGGGATCATCAACTAGATTCAGCGGTCGGGCGATTTTGCCTTGAGCGGATGGTCGGGGGGCCGGTACATAATTACAAATAATTTGTAGATGGCAAATTGACCTCAAGAAGCCCAAACAGATATAACATTTGACCAAAACATAATCATTTCAAGCCTTGCTTACATTTGTATACAATCACATGTTTTTCTCTATGATGCGTGGGAATACTTGGGAACAGATTTCTTAAATAAAAATCACTTGGAGCTGACTTCCTGCTGTTTCTAGTCTATTATGGTTTTATTTGCTCAGAAAACATGGGGGGGGGCAAATAAAACCACCCGTGGGCAAAATATGTCCTGCGGGTCGCCAGTTGGGGAATATGTCCCGCGGGTTGGGGAACCATGTCTCGGAGCTGGAGAAAGGCAGTATAGCTGTTTTTGTTGTGTTCAGCTGTGTTTAACATCTCTTTGACAATGTCCTCTCTCTCTTCTCAGGGCTAGAGAAAGGCAGTCAGTACAGTTTCCAGGTGGCAGCTATGACAACAAACGGCACGGGCCCAGCCAGCGAGTGGTTCACCGCAGAGACGCCAGAGAATGACCTTGATGGTAAGACACAAACGCTTTATTTACAATTCATTCCGTCGTCTTCTTGCTGCGTTTTCAAGTGGGCTTCATATTCCCCATAGTGCACTACATTAGCCCTGGGCAAAAGTAGTGCACTATTTAAGAAATAGGGTGCCATTTGGGACGCGGAACCTCCCCTCCTCCTCCTCGTCCACTACCATGCCTCCCTCTGTCTCTATCCCCCCGAGACAGGGCTAGAATCTTGTATTCAGACACGTCCATCTCTTTCCACGTTGTGTGTGTGAGTGAGGTGTTTAAATATTGAGACAGTGGTGTGACCAAGGTGTATAAAGCAGATTTTACAGATTGAGCATCATGCAAAGCTGCTGTGCAGGCATCCACTGTGTCCTCCGTCCCACTATTCCTTATGTAGTGCACTACTTCCGACCAAGGCCAATAGGGCTCTGGTCCCCAAAAAAAAATAGTGCACTAAATAAGTATTCGGGTGCCATTTGGATCTTAACCACTCACTGTGCCTGGTACAACTTAAAAGCATTTTGTTTCATATTAATTATACATAGCCTGACCAGAACAAGCTGTGGCAGCCAGGCAATTAGGAAGGAGATTTAAACAGGTAATGCATCTAGGAGAGCGGCGAGATAAGGAAGGGATCAATCAGGCAGATGCATTTAGGAGATGACAGGGGAACCTAATGCAATTCGAATGGATTATCACTCAATACACTGATATTAACCTCAGAACGTCTTCCTAGCATCCCTTCCTAGAGGATTACCCAAACTGTCAGATCGCATTAGAAGGCTTTGGTTTACATGTTTAGCTAGAAGGATCCACTGTTAGTGCTGTTTCTGATTTGGATTTGATTTGACTTAATTGATTTGACCGTTTTAAAAAACACAATTCAGCCACACAAGTCGATATACTGTGTGAAAATATCATCAAGGGCAAAACATTTTTTTGTAGGTCTCAGATCGTAGAGCATGGCCCTTGCAATGCCAGGGTAGTGGGTTCGATTCCCGGGACCACCCCCGTACATAAAATGTATGCATGCATGACTGCATATATTATCATTATGACATTTTAGGCCCATTTCCATGGTTATTCTGTGTTATCTGAAGCTTCCCATTTGGGTGTACATTTCTTTCCAGAGAGCCAAGTCCCGAACCAGCCCAGTTCCCTCCACGTCCGGCCCCTTCCCAACAGCATCATCATGAGCTGGACCCCGCCCCTCAACCCCAACATCCTGGTACGGGGCTACATCATTGGCTACGGAGTAGGAAGTCCCTACGCCGAGACGGTCAGGGTGGACAGCAAGCAGCGATACTACTCCATAGAAAACCTGGGTGAGTTCTCTTCTACAGCTTGGTTGAACCAGACTGATCATTGTACTAGTCTAGTTAGTGGTAGTACTGCAGACTGATCATTGTACCAGTCTAGTTAGTGGTAGTACTGCAGACTCCGGAACAAACATACACTTACAGTGAGGGAAAAAAGTATTTGATCCCCTGCTGATTTTGTACGTTTGCCCACTGACAAAGAAATGATCAGTCTATAATTTTAATGGTAGGTTTATTTGAACAGTGAGAGACAGAATAACAACAAAACAATCCAGAAAAACGCATGTCAAAAATGTTATAAATTGATTTGCATTTTAATGAGGGAAATAAGTATTTGCCCCCTCTGCAAAACATGACTTAGTACTTGGTGGCAAAACCCTTGTTGGCAATCACAGAGGTCAGACGTTTCTTGTAGTTGGCCACCAGGTTTGCACACATCTCAGGAGGGATTTTGTTCCACTCCTCTTTGCAGATCTTCTTCAAGTCATTAAGGTTTCGAGGCTGACATTTGGCAACTCGAACCTTCAGCTCCCTCCACAGATTTTCTATGGGATTAAGGTCTGTAGTCTGGCTAGGCCACTCCAGGACCTTAATGTGCTTCTTCTTGAGCCACTCCTTTGTTGCCTTGGCCGTGTGTTTTGGGTCATTGTCATGCCGGAATACCCATCCACGACCCATTTTCAATGCCCTGGCTGAGGGAAGGAGGTTCTCACCCAAGATTTGACGGTACATGGCCCCGTCCATCGTCCCTTTGATGCGGTGAAGTTGTCCTGTCCCCTTAGCATAAAAAGACCCCCAAAGCATAATGTTTCCACCGCCATGTTTGATGGTGGGGATGGTGTTCTTGGGGTCATAGGCAGCATTCCTCCTCCTCCAAACACGGCGAGTTGAGTTGATGCCAAAGAACTCGATTTTGGTCTCATCTGACCACAACACTTTCACCCAGTTCTCCTCTGAATCATTCAGATGTTCATTGGCAAACTTCAGACGGCCCTGTATATGTGCTTTCTTGAGCAGGGCACCTTGCGGGCGCTGCAGGATTTCAGTCCTTCACGGCGTAGTGTGTTACCAATAGTTTTCTTGGTGACTATGGTCCCAGCTGCCTTGACATCATTGACAAGATCCTCCCGTGTAGTTCTGGGCTGATTCCTCACCGTTCTCATGATCATTGCAACTCCACGAGGTGAGATCTTGCATGGAGCCCCAGGCCGAGGGAGATTGATAGTTATTTTGTGTTTCTTCCATTTGCGAATAATCGCACCAACTGTTGTCACCTTCTCACCAAGCTGCTTGGCGATGGTCTTGTAGCCCATTTCAGCCTTGTGTAGGTCTACAATCTTGTCCCTGACATCCTTGGAGAGCTCTTTGGTCTTGGCCATGGTGGAGAGTTTGGAATCTGATTGATTGATTGCTTCTGTGGACAGGTGTCTTTTATACAGGTAACAAACTGAGATTAGGAGCACTCCCTTTAAGAGTGTGCTCCTAAACTCAGCTTGTTACCTGTATGAAAGACACCTGGGAGCCAGAAATCTTTCTGATTGAGAGGGGGTCAAATACTTATTTCCCTCATTAAAATGCAAATCAATTTATAACATCTTTTACATGCGTTTTTCTTGATTTTTTTGTTGTTATTCTGTCTCTCACTGTTCAAATAAACCTACCATTAAAATTATAGACATCATTTCTTTGTCAGTGGGCAAACGTACAAAATCAGCAGGGGATCAAATACTTTTTTCCCTCACTGTAGCACTGGTGACTTGGTTACGAATCCCACCTCAGCCCCTACTCTCTGTCTCCCTTTGCATCTGTGTCCCTCTATATACAAATGATATGTAAACCACAAAGCATCTCAAATTAGGAGTACGGATCTAGGATCTGTCCATATAATCTTATATGGAGGTAGTTTAGAGAACCGGAATGTTTCCTCTCCTTGCATCAGAGCATAACAGTACGGTAGACAGAGGCTCAACACGCCAGGATCTGTCTGTCTGGCTTGACTGGTAATGGATGTCTGTAGGCTCTGTCGTAGCCGGCCACGACCGGGAGATGGGGCGGCGCACAATTGGCCTAGCGTCGTCCAGGGTAGGGGAGAGGGAATGGCCGGCAGGGGATGTAGCTCAGTTGGTAGAGCATGGCATTTGCAACGCCAGGGTTGTGGGTTTGATTCCCACGGGGGGGCCAGTATGAAAAATACAAAAAATTATGTATGCACTCACTAACTGTAAGTCGCTCTGGATAAGAGCGTCTGCTAAAATGACTAAAATTTTTAAATGTATTCCGAATGTATAGAACTATAACAGTGGTTTAGCAATGCTACGGCACATTATCAATGCATAACAAATACAGTCTGGAAGGGTAATCCATCTGCAAATGTTGCATATTTATTATTACCGATGTCAGTGGTTGAATCTTCTGGGAGACTAGCTCGGATGAGAATGTCATCGTGGATCAGTTAGGATCTATTCGCTGTTCCTTACAGACCTGTCTGACCTCTCTGTGGTCCTATGACGGGTCATCTATGGGTCACGTACGGAGGACTCTGTCAGAACGATACGAGACAGTCCACATCCAGGGCTTAACCCCAGATCAACAGCTGTTGAAGACAGGTTGTCTCTAAACCACAGATCAACAGCTGTTGAAGACAGGTTGTCTCTAAACCCCAGATCAACAGCTGTTGAAGACAGGTTGTCTCTAAACCACAGATCAACAGCTGTTGAAGACAGGTTGTCTCGCTTACAACAGCTACACCGTAGCTGTAAAATCTGGCATGCAAGATTACAGTAATCTGACCTCCGTGGGACTCTAATGTTGATGGCAAACTGTAAGCCTTCAGTCAATGTTGACCTTCTCAGAGTGAGTGGTATTGGACCAGAGAGGGCTTCTGGTAGAAACAGCAGGAGACAAGTACAATAATCAGTATTTACTATTCTGGCGGTAATAGGATTATTCTACAAGATATGTTTAGAGAATTATGCTGTTTTCTAATACTGGTGGTCATAAATGAGAAGTATTTCCATTGATGCAAAGAGTTTTGTCAACAGAATCCTTGTATTGACCTTATTATTTAATGAGTTATGTTTAGAGCGATGTTAATTTCAATTTATTTTTAAATATACTGGCCATCAATGTGAAAAAAATCAATTGATTTCAAAGACGAGTTCTAATTCTGTCAAACCAAATTCCACGTATTGACATGCCTTCCATGTATTCTGATAACACTAATTCTGTTTTTAAAACTGCATTTAATTCTAATCAATTATTTAACAGGAGCGTAATAAGAAAACACTTGAAGTTGAAATTAAATTAGGAAAAAAGCACAACCAATTTGCACGAGACAGGAGACAATAATAAATGGATATGATTTGAATATGCAGCCGAAACACCCTTCTACAATTCAATTATAGACATTACCCTGTTGGACACAACACACGTAGGGCCTACTGTACGGAAAATAGATTATTTAACATGCTATCATTTATACGTGTTTGTTATTTCTGGGTGGAAATCCATGTTCCAGTCTAGCTAACACACACACACACACACACACACACACACACACACACACACACACACACACACACACACACACACACACACACACACACACACACACACACACACACACACACACACACACACACACACACACACACACACACACACACACAGAGACACATATACGCAGCAGCAGACCATCACATAATCCCAGATCTACTGACAGAGAGAGAGAGGCATTCATACTAACAAATGAAACTGACCAAAAAATTGCACATTTCTATATTTCTATCTCAGTAAACATGTTTGGGTTTTTTTATCTCTCAAACCGAACGGTTGCTAGCTTGCTCTCATTTTAACAACCTATGCTCCTGTCTTTACACCTAATCTGCTCTGACATTATGGGCCGTTGCGCCATCAATATTTAGAACCGCCAGTTGGTTGCCATGGTTTCAATATTGAACGTCATGTGGTGGAAAAATATAGCCTTAAATCAGGAAGTAGGTACTTCCTGTCCGCTGTTCCCATGGAGATTCAATTTAGACCCTGGCAGACAGGGGAACCTCTGGATGGAAGATGGACAGATGGGTCGGTTGGTCTGTCAATACTAATCAATTACACTTCCCTGCTTTTACATGTCTCTCCCTGTAGCTATGTGCTCCCATCGTTATTGACAGAGTTATACTGTTGTCCAAAGGGGGGGGGGGGTCTACAATCACCAACTAGTGAACCCCCACAAGCATATTTTCCCATAAGTGTTAGATATAATAACGATAAAACAAGTATATGAGGAAGAATATGGATATCCCCTTGAGTGTTAAATCGATGTATAATGATAATGGTCCAGAGATCTACTGTTGTGGCGTCTCCGTGAGGATATCTATCATTCGAACCATGCCTATTGGGAATGGATTATATTGTTCATGTCACAACGGAGAGATGACGGAATTTGAAAAGACATGTTATTTTCAAACTGTTTATATGTTGAAATGTCCTGGGTTAAACTATCTATGTGATAATGTTATGTTGAGTTAGAATTTGCTGCATGGGGCTATCTCAGTGTTGATGTGAATGTTCTAAAAACTAGAACAGTTTGACAGAAAGTTGTGTGAAGTCTCAGTTGTGTGACTGACTTGGTATCTTGCTGTGGCAGAGACCACCCACTGAGGTGACGCTACTCTGTCTCTCTCTCTCTGTGTGTGTGTGTGTGTGTGTGTGTGTGTGTGTGTGTGTGTGTGTGTGTGTGTGTGTGTGTGTGTGTGTGTGTGCATGACTGACTCCTACTCAACAAGGACAACCATGACTCCATTCGGGGAGGATTGAGAGAACTAGAATATCAAGTAGAGATAGTGGTAGTTAGGGACTGAGAATAATGCTGTTCTCTCCATCTGTTCTCTCCAGCTGTTCTCTCCAGCTGTTATCTCCATCTGTTCTCTCCATCTGTTCTCGTCATCTGTTCTCGCCAGCTGTTCTCGCCAGCTGTTCTCTCCAGCTGTTCTCTCCAGCTGTTCTCAACAGCTGTTCTCTCGAGACCTTGCGACTGTTACGGGTCTATTTTCAGAACTGAACTGTATTATTCAATGTTGTGCCTTTGTACCTTCACTGAAAGCTCCCCTGTGTTTCGAGGCTGCAGTTACAGCGTAATAATCTCTAGGCTTGAGTTTGTGCAACACACACACGCACGCACAGACACACACACACACACACACACACACAGAGACACACAGAGACACACACACACACAAAGACACACAGAGACACACAGAGACACACAGAGACACACAGAGACACACAGAGACACACAGACACACACACACACACACACACACACACACACACACACACACACAGAGACACACACACACACACAGAGACACACAGAGACACACAGAGACACACAGAGACACACACACACACACACACACACACAGAGACACACACACACACACACAGAGACACACAGAGACACACAGAGACACACACACACACGCATGCACAGACACACACACACACAGAGATACACAGACACACACACAACACGCACCAGACACACACAACACACACACAACACACACACACACACACAGACACACACACACACACACACACACACACCACAGACACACACACACACAGAGACACACAGAGACACACAGAGACACACAGAGACACACAGAGACACACAAGACACACACACACACACACACACACACACACACAGAGACACACCCACAGAGACACACAGAGACACACAGAGACACACAGAGACACACAGAGACACACACACACACACACACACACACACACACACACAACATGAACACACACAAACACACACACAGACGACACACAGAGACACACAGAGACACACAGAGACACACACACACACCACACACACAGAGACACACAGAGACACACAGAGACACACAGAGACACACAGAGACACACAGAGACACACAGAGACACACACACACACACACACACAGAGACACACAGAGACACACAGAGACACACAGAGACACACAGAGACACACAGAGACACACACACACACACAGAGACACACAGAGACACACAGAGACACACAGAGACACATAGAGACACACAGAGACACACAGAGACACACAGAGACACACAGAGACACACAGAGACACACAGAGACACACACACACACACACACAGAGACACACAGAGACACACACACACACACTTCTCATCACCTGTCAGTCTGGTTGTGGTCTATATAGAGTGCTGTATTCATAGAAATATGGCTGTAATATATTATGATATTGTCTAGTCATGTAATGCTCTGTAGCCTATGTCCCTGTTTCACATTATTGGTCTTTGAAAGCTCTTCTGTGTTCAAAGGCTTTGTAATAGTTCATTTATATAGCACTTTTCCCAGTGCTCAAAGCTGGTTGGAGGAGATCATCTCAATAGTGTGTTCTACGGTATGTTGTCTGTGTTTGTGATGATTCTACCACATTTGTATAATACTGGTTGGTTCTACAGTAAACCGACTGTAAGAACTGTGTAATTTATTGATTGATTGATTGAATCAATCAATCAAATGTTATTTATGAAGCCCTTTTTACATCAGCAGATACAGAAACCCAGCGTAAAACCCCAAACAGCAAGCAATGCAGATGTAGAAGCACAGTGGCTAGGAAAAACTCCCTAGAAAGGCAGAAACCTAGGAAGAAACCTAGAGAGGAACCAGGCTCTGAGGGGTGGCCAGTCCCCTTCTGGCTGTGCCTGGTGGAAATAACAGTACATGGCCATTAAGGCCAGATTTTTCTCCAAGATGTTCAAACGTTCATAGATGACCTACAGGGTCAAATAATAATCACAGTGGTTGTAGAGGTTGCAACAGGTCAGTACAGTACTTGGCTTTTCATAGCCGGGCATTTAGAGGTTGAAATAGCAGGTGTGGTAGAGAGAGAAAATTGAAAACAGCAGGTCCGGGACAAGGTAGCACGGCGAACAGGTCAGGGTTCCATAGCCGCAGGCAGAACAGTTGAAACTGGAGCAGCAGCACGACCAGGTGGACTGGAGACAGCAAGGAGTCATCAGGCCAGGTAGTCCTGAGGCATGGTCCTAGGGCTCAGGTCCTCCGGGAGGGGAGGGAGAGAGGGAGAGATTGATTGATGGATGGATTGATATTAACAGTATTACTGATGTTTCTCCCACAGAGCCCAGTTCCCACTATGTAATCTCCCTGAAAGCCTTCAACAATGCAGGAGAGGGGGTCCCCCTGTATGAGAGCGCTGTGACCAGATCTATAACAGGTACGTACGGCGCTAAGCTAGCTAGCTAACCCATTAAAACGTATGGTGCTAAGCTAGCTAGTTAACCAATTAAAATGTACGACGCTAAGCTAGCTGGCTGGCTAACCCATTAGTATGTATGGCGCTAAACTAGCTAGATAACCCATTAAAACGTTTTGTGCTATGCTAGCTGACTAACCCATGAAAACGTTTGGTGCTAAGCTAGCTAACCCATGAAAACACATTAAGGTTGAACAGCTCTCAGAGAGTATTAGACAAGCGGATCACAGAACAAGCTACCCTCTCCAAAACGAACTGGCTCGTCTGTTCTGAACACGTTTTGAATCCTCTGAAGCCTCATGTAAAAGCATCCTTTAAAGGCCAAAGGACTTTGATTTCCATAAAGGACCAGACAAACAGGCCAGTAGCAGTACAGGTGGCGGTACAGCACACACACACACACACACACACACACACACACACACACACACACACACACGGCAGCTTTCCCACAGACCAGACTAGGATGCATCCCAAATGGCACCCTATTCCCTCTATAGTGCACTACTTTAGACCAGAGAATGGCACCCTATTCCCTATATAGTGCACTACTTTAGACCAGAGAATGGCACCCTATTCCCTATATAGTGCACTACTTTAGACCAGAGAATGGCACCCTATTCCCTATATAGTGCACTACTTGTGACCAGAGCTTTGGTTGAGTCATCCTCCAAAAGGAATGGGAGGTAGAGACATCCTGAGTTCTGAGAGTACAGGAGTCCACTACAACACACACTTATAAAGGATCACAGCTTTTTTTTTTTTTTTTTTACCTTTATTTAACTAGGCAAGTCAGTTAAGAACAAATTCTTATTTACAATGACGGTCTACACCGGCCAAACCCGGACGACGCTGGGCCAATTGTGCGCCGCCCTATGGGACTACCAATCACGGCCAGTTGTGATACAGCCTGGAATCGAACCAGGGGGTCTGTAGTGACGCCTCAAGCACTGAGATGCAGTGCCTTAGACCGCTGCGCCACTCGGGAGCCCTGTGGAGGGATACTCCTGTGAGAAAGCCTGATCACAGCTTTGTGGAGGGATACTCTGATGAGAAAGCCTGATCACAGCTTTGTGGAGGGATACTCTGGTGAGAGGGCTAACTGATCACAGCTTTGATCTGCTCCAAATTAAATCAGAGCATCTTGCTCCTCGCTGCCTGGCAGCCACAACTCAACTCACTGAAATCTCAACGCTCACTTGATGTTCACACAGATACAGACTGCTTTATAGGGGCAGTCTGCAATTGCTACATCAATTTTTGGACTTACAGTGCATTCGGAAAGTATTCAAACCCCTTCACTTTTTCCACATTTTGTTACATTACAGCCTTATTCTACAATTAATGTAAAAAAAAAAAACACACACACAATACCCCATAATGACAAAGCGAAAACAGATTAAAAAAAAAAAAACAGAAATACCTTATTTACATTATTATTCAGACCCTTTGCTGTGAGACTCGAAATTGAGCTCAGGTGCATCCTGTTTCCGTTGATCATCCTTGAGATGTTTCTACAACTTGATTGGTCAGGGAGGTAACCAAGAACCCGATGGTCATTCTGACAGAGCTCCAGTGTTCCTCTGTGGAGATGGGAGAACCTTCCAGAAGGACAACCATCTCTGCAGCACTCCACCAATCAGGCCTTTATGGTAGAATGGCCAGACGGAAGCCACTCCTCAGTAAAAGGCACATGACAGCCCGCTTGGAGTTTGCCAAAAGGCACCTAAAGGACTCTCAGACCATGAGAAACAAGATTCTCTGTTTGGCCTGAATGCCAAGCGTCATGTCTGGAGGAAACCTGGCACCATCCCTACGGTGAAGCATGGTGGTGACAGCATCATGCTGTGGGGATGTTTTTCAGCGGCAGGGACTGGGAGTCTAGTCAGGATTGAGGGAAAGATGAACGGAGCAAAGTACAGAGAGATCATTGATGAAAACCTGCTCCAGAGCGATCAGGACCTCAGACTGGGTCGAAGGTTCACCTTCCAACAGGACAACGACCCTAAGCACACAGCCAAGACAACGCAGGAGTGGCTTCGTGACAAGTCTCTGAATGTCCTTCAGTGGCCCAGCCTGGACTTGCACCCGATCTAACATCTCTGGAGAGACCTGAAAATAGCTGTGCAGTGATGCTCCCCATCCAACCTGACAGAGTTTGAGAGGATCTGCCGAGAAGAATGGGAGAAACTCCCCAAATACAGGGGTGCCAAGCTTGTAGCGTCATACCCAAGAAGACTCGAGGCTGTAATCGCTGCCAAAGGTGCTTCAACAAAGTACTGAGTAAAGGGTCTGAATACTTATGTAAATGTTATAATTCCGTTTTTTACTTTTTTTAAATTAGCAAACATTTCTAAAAACCTGTTTTTGCTTTGCCATTATGACGTATTGTGTGTAAATTGATGAGGATTTGTATTTCTTGAATCCATTTTAGAATAAGGCTGTAACGTAACAAAATGTGGAAAAAGTCTAGGGGTCTGAATACTTTTCCGAATGCACTGTATCAATTAATGATATGTACCCAATGATTCTTGAAAAATATTACTTATAAATGCCTCATGAGCTTAGATCAACGGTCATACCCCATCAGAAGCCAAAATATTAGCTTGTTTTACTCTAATGTTTGTAATTATAGTAAATGTAAACAAACACTATATGGTGATGTCATGGATGGTCAGTCCTTGCATCCATAGCTCTGTCTATGAATTTGAGAGAGGTTATATTTCTCCAGTCCCATCCCTCAGCGTTTTACCGAAACAGGGGCGGGGAAAATGCTTTGTTATTGTTTCAACTGCGGATTCCGGATTGCAGTGTGTTATTGACATACAATGTTTTATGATCATATGGGGTAGGGCCACAAGGATAAACATATTGACATATTGTAGCTATTTGTTTTTGTTTTCAAACCCGGGTTTATTCATCCATTAACAGTTGTGAAATGATATGAAAGAGAGTGTATGTTTGCCATAATGCCTCCAGGATTTTCCAGGGATTTGATTCATCTACTAGACTAGAGTTCTATCCCCACCATTACATTATAGAATAAATACATTTTGTAGAGCTGTTTTCTGCAGTCTTTTTCATATCTAAATAGAACAATTTCCCCGTTCTGTCAGAATAGAACTACGGATCCCATCCTGTCAGAATAGAACTACAGATCCCATCCTGTCAGATTAGAACTACAGATCCCATCCTGACAGAATAGAACTACAGATCCCATCCTGTCAGAATAGAACTACAGATCCCATCCTGTCAGAATAGAACTACAGATCCCATCCTGTCAGAATAGAACTACAGATCCCATCCTGTCAGAATAGAACTACAGATCCCGTCCTGTCAGAATAGAACTACAGATCCCATCCTGTCAGAATAGAACTACAGACCCCATCCTGTCAGAATAGAACTACAGATGCCATCCTGTCAGAATAGAACTACAGATCCCATCCTGTCAGAATAGAACTACAGATCCCATCCTGACAGAATAGAACTACAGATGCCATCCTGTCAGAATAGAACTACAGATCCCATCCTGTCAGAATAGAACTACAGATGCCATCCTGTCAGAATAGAACTACAGATATGTGTTAGTTACACTACAGTCACTCATTGACAGACAGACTACAGATTCCATCCTGTCAGAATAGAACTACAGATGCCATCCTGTCAGAATAGAACTACAGATCCCATCCTGTCAAAATAGAACTACAGATCCCATCCTGTCAGAATAGAACTACAGATCCCATCCTGTCAGAATAGAACTACAGATCCCATCCTGTCAGAATAAAACTACAGCTGTGTGTTAGTTGCACCACAGTCTCTCCTACAGAAAGACTATCCCAGTATGCTACATGACTGTCCCTGCAAGGTCACACGGAGTAGCAGTATTCACACACTGACTGGTGGCTGAGAGAAAGACACACTTGACCCTAACCTTAACCATAAACTCAACCCCTAACCCCTAACCCTAATTCTAACCCAAACCCTAAACCTAACCCCTAAGCCTTAAATAGCCGTTGTCCTCGTGGGGACCTAGCTGCTCGCCTGAATGGCTGCCTGCATAGCTATGAGATATTCATAATTTAATGCTGGCTCACATCTTTACGAGCTGCATTACAACGCCTTGTTAAAGGCTTGCCAATAAATACTGCAGCGAGAGGGAAATATATTCTGATCCCTCCGTCAGCCATTTAATCTTCTGTGTCTCTCAGGCCCTGCTGGAGACAGGAGAGTGAGAGAGGGAGAGAGGGAGATAGAGGGGAGAGAGAGAGACAGGAGAGAGAGACAGCAGAGAGAGAGAGGGGGAGAGAGGGAGACAGGAGAGAGAGACAGGAGAGAGAGACAGCAGAGAGAGAGAGAGGGGGAGAGAGGGAGACAGGAGAGCGAGAGAGGGGGGGAGAGAGACAGGAGAGAGCGAGAAGGAGAGTGAGGTAGAGAGAGAAGAGAGATGGATAGCTTCCCTCCCTCCTTCTCTCCCCGTCCATCTCAACGCTTAGCCACTAATTCAACTCACCAAAATGGAGATAGCTATGTTTTTCACATTATGCTGCCGGCACCCACAAGATGTATGGTTGAGACCTCTTGTTTAGTCTTTGGCTGTTCATCCGTATTCTAATGTGGGGCTCTGAGTTTAACCAATGATGAAGTCGGATATCATCACTTGTCTTGCTTGGTGAAATACGCCTCTGTTGTTGACAACACATTGCAGACATTAATTCTAGTGTCAAACTGAGATGTACCTTGATGCTTAATGTGTTTACATCTATCTGTCTGTCCTCTTTAGACATTAGTAACACTTTACTGAATGCATATATGTAAAATAGGCGAACTTTTGCCTTTAAGTAAAGTGTTACTACATGAATGTACATTTCTTACAGATGTTTGAATATCAGCTTAACCAGCTGTTTAGCTAGTTACTGTCTTTTAAAACCTGAATAGCTTTAGCCTTTGTCTCTAACTACCTGTTTACTCTGCTCTTAGTTGTGGCTGTAGTTATAAGTGGTAGTTAACACTAGTTAACACTAGTTAAATAGTGAAGCTAGTAGTGTCCTTATTAGCAGGAGGTTCTGCTGTGTAATTACTGTCTCCTTCCTCTTCTTCTCTTCTCTTTCTCTGTTTGTCACTTCTCTGGCCATCTTTCACTTTCCTCTCCTTTCCCTCTCTCTCTTCATCTTTCCTCTCTCTCTCCTCTCCTCTCCCTCTTCCTCTCCTCCTCCTTCCTCTCCTCTCCTCATCTTTCCTTCCCTCCTCTCCTCCTCATCTTTCACTCACCACTCACTTTTTTATGCTGTTTATCCATGATTCTCTGTTGGTTGCATGTAACTCCTATCACTTTGCATGAAAATAAATATTCCTTCCATGAACTAAATACACCGTGTTTGTGTGTGTGTGTGTGTGTGTGTTGGGCATGGTTATGTCACTCCACATCCAGACCCCATTGATCCATCAGACGACGATCTGTTCCATCTGTTTGATAAATATCCTACTCCCATACCAGATACATCCACCCCCATGATCCCCCCAGTAGGTGTCCAGGCCGTGGCCCTGACCCCAGACTCTGTTAGGGTCAGCTGGGCAGACAACTCCATGACCAAGAACCAGAAGACCGCTGAGGTCCGCTACTACTCTGTCAAGTGGAAGACCAGCTACTCTACTAGTGGGAAGTTCAAGGTAAGGTTGAGGGTGGGTAGGGGTGTGTGTGTGTGTGTGTGTGTGTGTGTGTGTGTGTGTGTGTGCTCTTGTCTACTGTTTTGATACCTGATGTTACATGTGTGTTAACAGTCTGTCACAAGAGACTTAAGGTGGTACGGTTAGGTTTCTTCGTTATTTAAGGTGGTATGGTTAGGTTTCTTCGTTATGTACGGTGGTACGGTTAGGTTTCTTCGTTATTTAAGGTTAGGTTTCTTCGTTATGTAAGGTGGTACGGTTAGGTTTCTTCATTATTTAAGGTGGTACGGTTAGGTTTCTTCATTATTTAAGGTGGTATGGTTAGGTTTCTTCGTTATGTACGGTGGTACGGTTAGGTTTATTCGTTATTTAAGGTGGTACTGTTAGGTTTCTTCGTTATTTAAGGTGGTACTGTTAGGTTTCTTCGTTATTTAAGGTGGTACGGTTAGGTTTCTTCGTTATTTAAGGTGGTGCGGTTAGGTTTCTTCGTTATTTAAGGTGGTGCGGTTAGGTTTCTTTGTTATTTAAGGTGGTACGGTTAGGTTTCTTCATTATTCTATTTGTGGATACCTTTACTTGTGCAGAACTGGTTGATTTCAACCCACTTTGCATTGCCTGCTCGATGAGGACATTACTACATCTCCCGAGTGGCGCAGTGGTCTAAGGCACTGCATTGCAGTGCTAGCTGTGCCACTAGAGATACTGGTTCGAATCCAGGCTCTGTCGTAGCCGGCCGTGACCGGGAGACCTATGGGGCGGTGCACAATTGGCCCAGCGTCGTCCAGGGTAGGGGAGGGAATGGCCGGCAGGGATGTAGCTCTGCTAAATGACTAAACTGTAAATGTAATGTACTTGCTGTGGGGTTCTGCCGTGAGAGTTGCTTGATTGTTTTCTCAAACAAAGTCCTGTTTCTCCTTACACTCTGTTCTCTCTTGATTTGATTTAATTACATTTATTATGTGTTAAAAACGGGCACAATTAAAAAGTACAAAGCCAAAAGGAAAACACATAAAAAGCATTATACCACCACACCAATGTGGTTTTCTGACAGAATAATTTTTAACGTTACACTAGGTGTGTTCAAAGGGAAATCATTTGCGAACGTTAGCTAACGTTAGCTAACATATTCCATTTGTTTTGTGTAAGCCGTGACCATTCCCTAACGTTAGCGAACAGTCTGAGAAGGTAGCGTCTGTTTGGGCTCTAAACTGCCACTGCTAATAATCATGTGACCAGGTAAGTTTTCTATTACATGTAGTAGGAATAGCAACATTGTTTGCGGTTCGATTATTGCCGCAAAAAAAAAAAAAATGCAGCAGTAATCTTTAAAACATTTCGCTTTTTGATGTTTTCACTGTAACATTTTGGAATGTTCTTTCAAATCGTTCAACTGAAATTGTTACTAAGAAACATGTTTGCCGGCAACAGAACCACTGTTGAACTCACCTCATGTTTCGTTCTCTAGTCTGCAGACACAACAGCCCTCAGCCACACCGTCACCGGCCTCAAGCCCAACACCATGTACGAGTTTGCTGTCATGGTTACCAAGGGCCGCAAGTCCAGCACTTGGAGTATGACCGCTCATGCCACCACTTACGAAGCAGGTGAGTCCTCTTTCTCTCTCTACAGTATCTATCACACCCTGTCTCTCTGTCTATCTCCAGTATCTATCACACCCTGTCTCTCTGTCTATCTCCAGTATCTATCACACCCTGTCTCTCTGTCTATCTCCAGTATCTATCACACCCTGTCTCTCTGTCTATCTCCAGTATCTATCACACCCTGTCTCTCTGTCTATCTCCAGTATCTATCACACCCTGTCTCTCTGTCTATCTCCAGTATCTATCACACCCTGTCTCTCTGTCTATCTCCAGTATCTATCACACCCTGTCTCTCTGTCTATCTCCAGTATCTATCACACCCTGTCTCTCTGTCTATCTCCAGTATCTATCACACCCTGTCTCTCTGTCTATCTCCAGTATCTATCACACCCTGTCTCTCTCTCTCTCTGCAGTATCTATCACACCCTGTCTCTCTGTCTATCTCCAGTATCTATCACACCCTGTCTCTCTGTCTATCTCCAGTATCTATCACACCCTGTCTCTCTGTCTATCTCCAGTATCTATCACACCCTGTCTCTCTCTCTATCTACAGTATCTATCACACCCTGTCTCTCTGTCTATCTCCAGTATCTATCACACCCTGTCTCTCTGTCTATCTCCAGTATCTATCACACCCTGTCTCTCTGTCTATCTCCAGTATCTATCACACCCTGTCTCTCTATCTACAGTATCTATCACACCCTGTCTCTCTCTCTATCTCCAGTATTTATCACACCCTGTCTCTCTATCTACAGTATCTATCACACCCTGTCTCTCTCTCTATCTCCAGTATCTATCACACCCTGTCTCTCTGTCTATCTCCAGTATTTATCACACCCTGTCTCTCTATCTACAGTATCTATCACACCCTGTCTCTCTGTCTATCTCCAGTATTTATCACACCCTGTCTCTCTATCTACAGTATCTATCACACCCTGTCTCTCTCTCTATCTCCAGTATCTATCACACCCTGTCTCTCTGTCTATCTCCAGTATTTATCACACCCTGTCTCTCTATCTCCAGTATTTATCACACCCTGTCTCTCTATCTACAGTATCTATCACACCCTGTCTCTCTGTCTATCTCCAGTATCTATCACACCCTGTCTCTCTGTCTATCTCCAGTATCTATCACACCCTGTCTCTCTCTCTATCTCCAGTATCTATCACACCCTGTCTCTCTCTCTATCTCCAGTATCTATCACACCCTGTCTCTCTCTCTATCTACAGTATCTATCACACCCTGTCTCTCTCTCTCCTTTCTCTCTCTCTCTTCGCCTCTCTTTTTGTCTCTCTCTCTCTCTCTCTCTCTCTCTCTCTCTCCCTCTCTCTCTCTCTCTCTCTCTCTCTCTACCCCTCTCTCTCTCTCTCTCTCTCTCTCTCTCTCTCTCTCTCTCTCTCTACCTCTCTCTCTGTCTCTCTCTCTCTCTCTACCTCTCTCTCTGTCTCTATGAAAAATAACTACAACGCCGCCTGTCATCACAAATACCCCAAATTATATTTATTCGCTGCAACTCTCCGGCAATTATTCTTATGAAATAGTACAGTGTGCACTTTCTAAATGTCTGCATTCATTTGTCAACCCAATCCTTTTTAGGAAATACATTGACATTCAATGCTTTTTAGTATTATGTGCTGCTTGGAAAGCTCAGTTGTGGCCAACTCTTGATCATAGTCGACTCTGATACCTTTGATGTTGGAAAAACCCTGTTCCCTCCTGGTATAACACACTGGTGAGGCCCTGTGTGTGTCCCAAATTACACCCTATTCCCTAGATAGTGCACTACTTTTGATGCACTACTGTGCCTTACTTTTATGGGCCCTGGTCAGAAGTACTACACTCTGGTGAATAGAGTTCCACTAGGGACGCACAAAGGTCCTGATACTTGTTTGGACTATGTTTGTTAGTGATTTGTTATTCTCACACAGAAATAGCGAGAAAACATTAAACGTGCTGTGAATGGAAACACAGGAACAATATGAGAACGGTTTGATGCAAGAACAAAGGTAGTTAGCAATTCAACCGTTCAATAAAAAATAAAAAACACAACCGCTCAAACTGTTTGTTTGATTTGAATTCCCGGGGGTAGAAGTTTTCAATCAAAGACGTTGATGTTTCGTTATTCATTACAGAGCAACACATGTTTAGGAATTCCTTTTCGTTAATAAGTCTACAAACACAGTCTCTTTTGTTTGGCCAATAACAGGCTATGTTTTTTGGAAGGTCTCCTGGGGGTCCATTGCAACCAACAGGCAGAATGTAGCACTGTGCTACACATTACAGGCTGGATTTCTTAAACCACTACTGACTGGAGATGACATGCACCTGCGTATTAAAGCAAACTGGCTTGCAACCAAAAAACCCATAAGAATAAACCAGCCAATCAGTCGATTTCTCCTCGTTACCGTGTCAAGTCCATTATGATACCAGACAGCTGGTCTAGGTTCTCTTCTCCCGCCCCCAATAAGATATCGACCTATCAGGAGCATCGGAAAACCCTGAGGCTGATGAATGTAAAAATACTTATTAGAGCAGGGTTCTTCAATTCCGGTCCTGGAGGGCCGAAACACTTCTGTTTTTTATTTCTACCTGGTAGTTAATTGCACTCACCTGGTGTCCCAGGTCTGAATTAGCCCCTGATTAGAAGGAGAGGATGAAAAACAGAGGTGTTTCGGCCCTCCAGGACCGGAATTGAAGAACCCTGGGTTAGAGTATAAGAATATAGTTGTAGTAGGCTTATATTTCATTCAAAAGTTTCACCTTCAAATAATATCATATATACAGTAAATGCCATTTATAATAACTTAGCCTAGTTACATTTTCATTTGATGTATATATACATTATATAACTCAGTCACGATTGACTTGATTTAGTTACACATTTTAAATATGGACTGTCCGGGGATATTTTACCCCAGATCTTGAAAGGAAATGACCATATCAGACATTTTATTTTAAAGACAGTTGTATTTAATGGATTACATGAATTGGAAACAAATAAAATAATATGAGTGGTCTCTACACCATCAACATTAGTTTTCCTTCATACAACGTGTCGTGGTAAATGAGGAAATACTTTATTTCAGTTGTACGGAATGATTGTCAAATAGCTAAACCGCCCAACGTCTGCTCAACCACCGGGATGAAACATGTTACGATGATAATACCTACCAGACTTTATCTTAAAATACTTTGGTAGCATGGAGGACTAAGATAACACTGACAACGTCTTGTAAGGAGAGGTAATGAGGTGACCAATAACGGTTGTAACTGAGATCAGCTGCGTGGGTGAATATAGCGCGTATTGATGGTTTAACGAGAGATCAGCTGGCGATAATCTGGTGGCCATCGATGATTGCAATTGGCCCCTTCTGTCTGGCCAATTAAAGGTAGACAGCGATATGACGTAGATGCAGAAAGTAAACAGCAATAGTGGGGTCAATTTCTGCAACAACTAAGAGCGATGAAGCGCGAGGCTCCACTTCTCCACTGTTTTGATGCCCTCGCCACCATGCTGTGAACAGCGTGACCGTGTGAGAGCGAAGTCTTGCATCTCTATCATCTCAATATCTGCGGTGTTGCTCGTGGCAACGCCGTTTCACTGACTCTACCTTTAAGGACCATGCAGCCTCTGCCAAGGCAGCTTACTGTAATTACAGGATTAATTCAACCTGAAATGAGCATCAGCGTGTGATGACAGAATTAGGACCCGTGTTGTTGGTGGTATAAACTTGACTTATGACCCTTACTTCCTGTTTCTCTCCTTTCCTGATTGGCTGACAGCTCCTAGCTCCACCCCCAAGGACCTGACGGTCATCAGTCGTGAGGGGAGACCCAGAGCTATTCTGATCAGCTGGCAACCCCCCATGGAGGCCAACGGACGGATCATGGGTAAGAACAGAAGTACTGCCACTGTCGCCACCCTGGACACTTTATCCACTGTAGTGTAAAGTACTTCCAAGTACTAGCCTGAGTGTGTTGCCCCCAGCTTAAAACCCCTCCTCAAGAGTAGTAATCCATTTTGTCTGTGTGGTCCAGCCCAGGGATGGCTTGCCTTTTCATCCTCCAAGCACTACCCTCCCCTTCTCCCATAGAAGACCCATCGTCCTCCTCCCCTCCTCTTCCTCCCCTCCTCTCCTCTCCTCCTCCTCCTCCTCTCCTCCTCCTCTCTCCTACCCTCTCCTCCCCTCCCCTCTCCTCCCCTCCTCCACTCTCCTCCTCAACTCTCCTCCCCTCCTGGTCACAGATCTGTTTGGGCTGTCTTGCCAACTCCTATAGTCATTGTCAGGGGTTGTTACTTAGTCTCTCTCTCTCTCTGTGTTGTTACCTTTCCTCTCTACCAGGCTATATGCTGTACTACGGTCTGGATAAGAACATGCCTATAGATGACTGAGTTATGGAGTCTATGTTATGTTACCTTTCCTCTCTACCAGGCTATATCCTCTACTACAGTCTGGATAAGAACATGCCTATAGATGACTGGGTTATGGAGAGTATCAGTGGAGACCGTCTGACCCACCAGGTGATGGACCTGAACCTGGACACTGTCTACTACTTCAGGATCCAGGCTAAGAATGCCAAGGGAGTGGGCCCCCTCTCAGACCCCCTCCAGTTCAGGACTAACAAAGGTACAGGATGACTAGTCTATCATTACCTTTCTCACCCTTACATCCAGCCCTGTTAACTACCTTCTCCCCTCTCACCCTTACATCCAGCCCTGTTAACTCCCTTCTCCCCTCTCACCCTTACATCCAGCCCTGTTAACTACTGTCTCCCCTCTCACCCTCACATCCAGCCCTGTTAACTACCTTCTCCCCTCTCACCCTTACATCCAGCCCTGTTAACTACCGTCTCCCCTCTCACCCTCACATCCAGCCCTGTTAACTACCTTCTCCCTTCTCCCCTCTCACCCTTACATCCAGCCCTGTTAACTACCTTCTCCCCTCTCACCCTTACATCCAGCCCTGTTAACTACCGTCTCCCCTCTCACCCTCACATCCAGCCCTGTTAACTACCTTCTCCCCTCTCACCCTTACATCCAGCCCTGTTAACTACCTCTCCCTTCACCCTCTCCCCTCACCCTTACTCATCCAGCCCTGTTAACTACTTCTCCCCTCTCACCCTCACATCCAGCCCTGTTAACTACCTTCTCCCCTCTCACCCTTACATCCAGCCCTGTTAACTACCTTCTCCCTCTCACCCTTACATCCAGCCCTGTTAACTACCTTCTCCCCTCTCACCCTTACATCCAGCCCTGTTAACTACCTTCTCCCCTCTCACCCTTACATCCAGCCCTGTTAACTACCTTCTCCCCTCTCACCCTTACATCCAGCCCTGTTAACTACCTTCTCCCCTCTCACCCTTACATCCAGCCCTGTTAACTACCTTCTCCCCTCTCACCCTCATATCCAGCCCTGTTAACTACCTTCTCCCCTCTCACCCTTACATCCAGCCCTGTTAACTACCTTCTCCCCTCTCACCCTACATCCAGCCCTGTTAACTTACCTTACTCCCCCCGTTCTCCCCTCTCACCCTTACATCCAGCCCTGTTACTACCTTCTCCTCCTCACCCTTACATCCAGCCCTGTTAACTACCTTCTCCCCTCTCACCCTTACATCCAGCCCTGTTAACTACCTTCTCCCCTCTCACCCTACATCCAGCCCTGTTAACTACCTTCTCCTTCCCCTTCTCCCTTCTCCCCCTCTCACCCTTACATCCAGCCCTGTTAACTACCTTCTCCTCCCCTCTCACCCTCACATCCAGCCCTGTTAACTACCTTCTCCCCTCTCACCCTTACATCCAGCCCTGTTAACTACCTTCTCCCCTCTCACCCTTACATCCAGCCCTGTTAACTACCTTCTCCCTTCTCCCCTCTCACCCTTACATCCAGCCCTGTTAACTACCTTCTCCCCTCTCCACCCTTACATCCAGCCTGTTATACCTTCCGCCTCTCACCCCTACAATCCATCCCTAACTACCTCTCCCTCTCACCCTTACATCCAGCCCTGTTAACTCACCATCTTAGCCTCCCATCCAGTTCAGGACCATCAAAAGGTACAGGATGACTAGCCTATCCTACTTCACTTCTCATCCTTATGTACACCTAGGTTTAATAATATAATATAATATTCCATCTAGCAGTAACTTACAGTTACGCGTGCATATATTTTAGTTTATGGGTGGGCCCAGCGAGAATCAAACCCATTACCCTTGGCGTTGCAAGCTACATACGCCACCAACTGAGCTACGTGAAACCCTAACTAACCCTAACTAACCCTAACTAAGTCCCTGGTTGGAGAATTCCCAGCCGGAGGAGTCTCTCCCTTCTTACTCCCTCCTGATTCTGGTGACGATTCTTCCTCCAACCAGGATTTAGTTATGGTCCATCCATCCCTGTTATTCCCAACTAGCCTCTGACATGATTTTGTTCCACCCATAATTTTTTGCAAATAAACTATTAGTAATATTGTCCACCTCATGGTAATATGGTAATACTCAGAAGGCTTGCGGTGTGGTTTACAGTGCCTTCAGGAAGTATTCATAGTATTCATAATTGACTTATTCCACATTTGATTGTGTTACAGCCTGAATTCAAAATTGATTTAATAAAACATTTTCTCACCCATCTACACACAATACCCCATAATGACAAAGTGAAAACATGTTTTTAAAAAAGGTTTGCAAATGTTTTGAAAATGAAATACAGAAATGTCTAATTTACATAACTATTCACACCCCCTGAGTCAATACTTTGTAGAAGCACCGTTGGGCAGCGATTACAGCTGTGAGTCTTTCTGGGTGAGTCTCTAAGAGTTTTCCAAGAGATTTTCAAGTGGATTTCAGTCAAAACTGTAACTCGGCCACTCGGGGACCTTCACTGTGTTCTTGGTAAGCAACTCCAGTGTAGATTTGGTGTAGGCCTTGTGTTTTAGGTTATTGTCCTGCTGAAAGGTGAATTCAGACTGAAGCAGACTGAACCAGGTTTTCCTCTAGGATTTTGCCTCTGCTTAACTCCATTACATTTCTTTTTTATCCTGAAAAACTCCCCAGTCCTTAATGATTACAAGCATACCCATAACATGATGCAGCCACCACTATGCTTGAAAATATGGAGAGTGGTACTCAGTAATGTGTTGTATTGGATTTGCCCCAAACATAACACTTTGTATTCAGGACAAAAATGTTAATACTTTAGTGCCTTGTTGCAAACAGGATGCATGTTTTGGAATATTTTATTCTATAAAGGCTTCCTTCTTTTCACTCTGTCAATTAGGTTACTATTGTGGAGTAACTCCAATGTTGTTGATCCATCCTCAGTTTTCTCCTATCACAGCCATTAAACTCTGTAACTGTTTTAAAGTCATCATTGACCTCATGGTGAAATCCCTGAGCAGTTTCCTTCCTCTCTGGCAACTGAGTTAGGAAGGACACTTGTATCTTTGTAGTGACTGGGTGTATTAATACATCATCCGAAGTGTAATTAATAACTTCACCAGGCTCAAAGGGAAATTCAATGTCTGCTTTTTTATTTTATTTTTATCTACCAATAGGTGCCCTTCTTTGCGAGGCATTGGAAAACCTCCCTGGTCTTTGTGGTTGAATCTGTGTTTGAAATTCACTGCTCGACTGAGGGACCTTACAGATAATTGTATGTGTAGGGTAAAGAGATGAGGTAGTCATAAAAAAATAATGCCAAACACTATTAATGGACACAGAGTGAGTCCATGCAACTTATTATGTGACTTGTGAAGCAAAGTTTTACTCCTGAACTTATTTAGGCTTGCCATAACAAAGGGATTGAATACTTATTGACTCAAGACATTTCAGCTTTTAATTTTTTATTAATTTGTAAAAATGTCGAAAACATAAATCCACTTTGATGTTATGGGATATTGTGTGTAGGCCAATGACAATTATTATTATTTTTTAAATTCAGGCTGTAACACAACAACATGTGGAAAAATTCAAGGGGTGTGAATACTTTCTGAAGTAAGTTTCAGTCGCGTTAGCACATTGTTTGTCTTCATCACTGTAGGCCAAGGGAAAACGAGCTAACGCTGTGCTAATGCTACTTCATCACTGTAGGTCAAGGGAAAACGAGCTAACGCTGTGCTAATGCTACTTCATCACTGTAGGTCAAGGGAAAACGAGCTAACGCTGTGCTAATGCTACTTCATCACTGTAGGTCAAGGGGAAACGAGCTAACGCTAAGTAGCGTCTCTCCGCTAATCTTGCAGGAGAACATTTAATGAATGTGCTGTTTAGCATCTGTTGCAGACAGTTAACAGTGAACAGGGAGGTCCCAAGTGGATCCTCTGGGGCTAGTTTAACAACGTATCCTGGGCCAGTGTTCATAAAGCATATCAGAGTAGGAGTGCTGATCTGGGATCAGTTTTGCCTTTGTACATAGATTATTATGAATAGACAAGGTGACCCGATCCTAGTTCAGCACTCTTATTTTTATGACGCTTTAAAGAATACTGGCCCTGGTCTCTAGCTAAATACTGCTAATCAAGCTCAGATATCTGATCTATTATCATACTGTCTGCTACATGTCAATTGACATCTACAGTAAATGATAGAGAACCTCTGTTACAAGTTTTCAATATAAATCATTGCTCTATGTGTTACTGTAGTTGAGCTGTCAGAAAATGTAGCTAATTTCTAGTCTGCATTCATACATGTCATTCTCCTCAGTTCACTTCTGTGGTGTTCAGTGCTTTGAACCCTTTGGATCCTATTAAGGGAGCACAGAAATGAAAAACAGATCAGATTTGCAGTCTTCAGAATTGTGGTCTTTCAGGCTCCATTTTTAAAGTGCCGATCAAATTGAATAAAACAATATATATATATATAGGAAAGATACCAAGAGACAACAAAAAAATCCTA